TCTCATCAAGTTCCATAAAAGATCGTTAAGTAAGTAGCAGAACATAGTGTTTTGGAAGTAAAAATACACCATAGGAATTATGTGTGTTACAAAAAACACTTTTCTCTCAGAATCAGTTCCGACAGCAGCGAAATCAGTCGTCTAAGAACTTTGTCAAAGAATCCTTCAATTTTTTCGCCAAAGAAATATGAAGCCTTTACTACAAAAGGGAGCCACCCAAAAACCGTCAATCATAAGAACTGGGTGTATGTCGAAAGGCGCGCGTTTCGGCAGTCGTCATTGCCAAGAGGAAATTGTACTCTACAAAAGCGAGGTTTCCAAACTCCTAAAGTTTTGTCATCATATGGGAAATAGTGACAGAAGATCACTAGTAAAATCTCGGAAGTACTGAACCAAGTTCGAACTTCTTTCCTGGTTTTCTGATTAGTGACAGTCGATCAATACGCGCCATACGACCGTCTCCCATAAGAACTGCACAAACGTGTAAAAAATATCTTTCCCTGTCCGATCAAATTGCCCTACGTGCCGTTTACAAACCAATTATCTATCTGAAAGACAGTTCATGCCCTACGTGCCGCTTGAAGACCGTCAAAAAATTACAAGAATTACCCCAAACGTACAAAAATCTGTTTACCTGCCCGATCGGGTTGCCCTACGTGCCGCTTACAGACTGATAGTAACTATTTAAAAAGAAAGTTTATGCCTTACGTGCCGCTTGAAGACCGTCAAAAAATTACAAGAATTGCCCCAAACGTACAAAAATCTGTTTCCCTGCCCGATCGAGTTGCCCTACGTGCCGCTTACAGACCGATAGTAACTATTCAGAAAGAAAATGCCTTACGTGCCGCTTGAAGACCGTTTAGGAGTTATAAGAACTGCCCCAAACATACAAAAATCTGTTTCCCTGCCCGATCGGGTTGCCCTACGTGCCGCTTACAGACCGAGAGTAACTATTCAGAAAGAAAGTTTATGCCTTACGTGCCGCTTGAAGACCGTTTAGGAGTTATAAGAACTGCCCCAGACATACAAAAATCTGTTTCCCTGCCCGATCGGGTTGCCCTACGTGCCGCTTACAGACCGATAGTAACTATTTAAAAAGAAAGTTTATGCCCTACGTGCCGCTTGAAGACCATCAAAAAATTACAAGAATTGCCCCAAACGTACAAAAATCTGTTTCCCTGCCCGATCGGGTTGCCCTACGTGCCGCTTACAGACCGATAGTAACTATTCAGAAAGAAAGTTTATGCCTTACGTGTCGCTTGATGACCGTTTAGGAATTATAAGAACTGCCCCAAACATACAAAAATCTGTTCCCTGCCCGATGGAATTGCCCTACGTGCCGCTTACACACCGATACCCAGTTGAAACCAGCGGGATTCAGTTACATAAGCAAAAGGCTGTTGTTAAATAGACTTTTCCAAAAGTACCAGCGAGACTAAGTTATTCACGCACTGTCTTGTTTACACGCGGAAGCAAGATAATCCTAAAGTGACTGTTGTTAGAGCATTTTTACGAAGAGTTGAGAATATAGATGAATTTAGCTCAAGTCACGCTTTCACGCAATATGGCATCATTTCAAAAGCAACTAATAGGAGTAGAACATATTTGAAAGACACATTCTGGGATAATAACAAGTTCAATTTTGAAAAGCTGGTACAAATAACACACCCGGACACTGGCGTCACAGTCTCAAAATTATTGCGACACTCATGATTGCCTTTCGAAACCCGTGTGACCCTTTTACGAAAATATGCTTGGTCACTCTTTTGAAATTTGGCAGCGTTCCAAAACGCATGCCACTTGGCAGCAATCCAATTCCAAAGATCAGTGTATTTCATCATAATTTTTACGTCTGCGGCCTCCTCGTTTGCCATGATCCAACTATCGGCGGCTTAATGGGTAAACAACGAATTCGTTATATATTACGTAGTGATTTCATTTATTCCAGTGACGGAAGAAGATGATTTACACAGACTGTCCAAAATTGAACGTAGCTAGATGCAGCCCACAGGTCAATCTCCGAGGGGGAAGGAGGGTCACGAAGAAAGCGATGATACGCGCAAAACGCAAGCAGTAGCCCTCCAGCTAACGAAATTCTATGGCATCGAGTCTTTTATCTGTCCTCCTCCCTCTCCCCTGTTTGCCACCGTGTCATTTTAGCACCTATGTTTCTTTGAGGGGCACCACATTTCGGATTTTCGCCTCCGCACCACACCACGAACCGGAGGTTGTCTCTGTAACTCAGACAGTCGAAGGAATACTTCCGGAGCGAAAATGGGAGGGTTCCGGGCTCTGCCCAGCGGGGGTTTGCCACCCGTGCTCGAAGCCTTCCCACTTGCCCATTTTGGTGCTCCGGGGGCTCCTCCAAACCTGGAGCAGAGGTTTGCGAGCCCCGAGGAGGGGTCCCATTTGCCTTCTTGTGACGTCACAAATGTATGGGAGGAAGAATGTGACTTCTCCCGGGGCTCGCAAATCTCTGCTCCGGGGGTGCGCCAGATTTGGAGGAGCCCTCGGAGCACTAAAATGGGTAAAATGGGAGGGCTCCGGAGCACGAAGTAGCGACCCCGCCATTTACCCTCCGGAGGTATCCCTTCGACTGTCTGAGAATGAGCGAGGATTTGTGAGAAGTTGCGTAAGAGCAGCTCTGTGCGGGTTACGAGGAACTACTGGATTGATGCAAAATCAATGCATGTTCCTTATCTTAAAGTGACAGAGGATTTATAAAGTTGGAAGAAACACATCATTCGAGAGAGCAAACCAAGCTCTACAGAAGGCATGTGAACAGTCGCAAAAGATTAGATCTATATGAAATTTTGGAGGGGGGGGAGAGAATTAAGAAAATTTCAAACACTAAAAATCAGATTCCATCCAGAAGGATCCCGCGGGACTCTGGCTTGGTAAAGGATATACTATAACCATTCGATTGTACACTCGCCGATTCTTTTTTCCAAGGGTGCAAATTGACAACTAAGAATACACCAATGATACGAAAATGTAGGCTTTTTTTTAGGTTTTTTTGTTGTATTTGAATTTTCTCGACATCTAACACTTCAAAGAAGGCTGGAAATCCATTGTATACTTCCAAAGTTTGTAGTGCGCAATTTCCTATGTCGGGACAGTCCAAATTGCTTTGATAGAGCATGCCAAATTCTGTTTTTTCACGTCTAGTCATGGAAAAAAGCAAATGGAGCAAATGTGAAATGCGTAGCTGATGCGACAGATAACTTCCATGAGCAAGCTGGAGTCTTGTTGGATTTATAGGCGATTCATAACACGCAAAGATTGCGGATGTGTCGGCGTCTCTCTGATCGAGCGCTCTTTCGCCTCTCTTACCATCTGCTGTCCCTCCCACGCCCGCTCTATCTCGGCCGGACGCAACGGCGCCCAGTCTTTGCGTATCGTGCATGTTTGGACGAGGAACCTACTTTGGGCATTTGGAATTATTTAGATTTTTCTATTTTCCATGTTCAAGCTTTCTAACATTGTTTGGCGCTATTCCAGTATCCGGGTCCCAAAATTTTTTTCGCATGGATTTTGCTGAAACTTAGCCCACAGGGGTTATTCGGCACGCTGATGCCAAATATCACATTGGTTTTGTACCATAGCGTCATTTGCTCGGGTTACGGTAGGTATATGGTAAGGGGTCAAAATTCTAGAATTCGCTGAAACTTGACACAGGGGTGTTATTCGGCCCGCTGATGCCAAATATCACTTTGGTTTTGTACCATAGCGTCATTTTCTCGGGTTACGGTAGGTACACGGTGACGGGTGGAAAACCTACTTCTGCCTGAAACGGTGTACGACGATTCGGACGATTGTGAAGCTTTCACACACGACCACCGCCGCGAGCTACACATCCTGCGGCTTTTGCCTAAGCAAAGACAGACAGAAGATACATTTGCCGATTTGTGATTTTGACCCCCACCGTAAACCTACCGTAACCGTGCAGGGAGACGTTTTCGTGCGGTGAAAGTGCGATATTTCTAATCAGCATGTCGAATAACCCCTCTGTGCGAAGTTACAGCGAATTTTGAGATTTTGACCTCTCACCGTACACCTACCGTAACTCGAGAAAATGACGCTGCGGTACAAAACCAGTGTGATATTCAGCATCGGCGGACCGAATAACCCCCTTGGCCAATTTTCAGCAAAATCCATGTCAAAAAAGTTTTGGGGCCCGGATACTGGAATAGCGCAAATCGTTCAAACACTATCCTATTAGAATTGCTTTACTTCATTGAATGATATGTCTATACATTTCTATACCTTCCCTCCAGCTTCAGGATAAGGAACATATCATCGGCTTCCAGATTCGTGTGGAGGTGGAGTCTTGCCAACTCACCGCGTGGCGGTTTTTGTTAGCGAGAGAGTACGAAAAGCTATGCTGTGACGTGGAGGTTCCACAAGTTTACCTGTGTCATCAGGCAAAGTCTGCAATACACCTCAACACGAATCTGGAAACCGATCATACATTAATTTTGGATCAACTAGTTATTAGATATGAGGACTGAGATGCTCTTGCTAACGATAAGCTCAGAGTGGTCGAAATGTAGGAAGGTTGTTCCATGCAATGTGGCACGGAATGTGGGTAACGCTTGTTGGTTGTATAATACTATCGTTAATCAAATGTTCTTGCTTTCTTCTCTATAAGCAATTATATGCTTGAAGTTCTCCACAGATTCTCAACTTGCATAGCACTTTGTTACGGTGGCTATGACCTTCCTATGTTGCTTTAGTTGGAACTTCCAAACGAGGAGATTTTGTAGCAGCTCTTCATACCTCTGGACAAACCATTTACACCTTACTTTCTCCACACTTTTCCCAGTTTTCTGCACAAACTTCCCTAAATAAACAACTGGGGTGAATATTGGAGAATACGGCGTACTTATTCAGAAATTTGGCATTGGTTTTCAGATAATAGTCTATAGAGCGATGTGGAATAAAGCAGTGGAGGCGATCTGAGGTAGAATCATGTTAAAATCGCTCCTATTTCGAGCGTAATGTCCGCAGAGAATTTCGATGAGATGAGGCGCCTTTTTCCTCTCACAGTCACTTCGAGGTGCAATGAAGTGAACCTCACGTTTTCGTCAACAGCTGTTCTTGTTTTGTTTCCCGTATCGCGAAATTTTATCTTCAACAACACGGGATGAAAGCGCTTCTAGCCATGAGGTTTCGAAACTCGCGCGTGAACGACCGCCTTGTGCTAGGTCCCGGCGCGGAGAACGCGTCGCCACGTCGCCACGCCCCGGCGCGCTGCGCTCGGCGTTCATTGACGGCGTCTTCTTCGTTCATCGAGCGGTGCTTTCGTTGAGGTGGGTCGTGTTCCTCTTTCTCGTAGGTGTTCGTGCTGTTCGTAGGATAGCAGGGCGGTGTTTGGGTTTTTGCTCGTGTCCTTTCGCTCATTTCAGGGAGATTTTAGTAACTACTGCCTAGGATAAGCACTTTAGGACAGGTTCAGTCGTTATGCAGTTCTAATGACGACGTTGAATTTAGGTAGTCGATCTGGTAGTGATTACTCATCATTACTCTGTACGTACCTAGCCAGCTAAGTAAGCTAAGCTAGTTGATTCGTGACGGTTAAGAAGTAACGAAGTAACTCTAGGAGTTGTTAAGACTGACGATATGGCTGACGAAGGACATGTGAGGTTTTAAGTTTTTAGTTCATTTTGTTTTTAATCGCGCAAGCCAGCTGCGTAGGTGAGTGCGGTAGGGTTCTGCGGTCCACTATCCAATGTAACTCTTACAGTTTCAGAATGGAAATGCTGCTGGAGATGCTGAGCCGGAAAACTTCCGCAAAATCTTCGTGGGAGGCCTCACTGGTAACACAACCGATGAAGTCATGCGGGAGTTCTACTCACAATTCGGTGAGCTGACTGACATAATCGTCATGCGCGATCCAAACACCAAGCGGTCGAGAGGCTTCGGTTTCGTCACCTTCGCCACTAAAGCTAATGTAAGTCTAATTACTGCTTTTCCTCTTGTGGACAAAGCAGTGAGCGTTGATTTTAGGTTGATGCTGCTATGGCTGCTCGTCCTCATGTCATCGATGGAAAAACGGTTGATCCTAAACGTGCTGTTCCTAGAGATGACAAGAATCGCAATGAGTCAAATGTGTCCACTAAACGTTTGTACGTTAGTGGAGTTCGCGAGGACCATACAGAAGAAATGTTCACGGAGTACTTTAGCAAGTTCGGAAATGTTGTGAAAGTAAGCCTAATTTCCTTCTATGAAAGTGTAGACTAAATGTGTTTGCCTTTTCAGTCTGAAATCATACTCGATAAAGTAAGCAATAAACCCCGTGGATTCGGATTCGTTACCTTCGATGATTACGACCCGGTCGACCAATGTGTTTTGCTCCGAAGTCACATGATAAACGGGTTCAGGTGTGATGTAAAGAAGGGTCTTTCGAAAGATGAAATGAACAAAGTCGTGAGTTCTACTGCATTCTTCCTCGTAATTGATACCTCAGTTCTTCTGCTTTAGGCCCAAAGTAATCGCGATCGTATGGATAGAATGGGACGCTCGCGCGGAGATCAGCGAGGTGGTTATGGAGGGCCAGGAGGCGGTTGGGGTGGTCAACAAGGAGGACAAGGACAGCGTGGAGGTTGGGGACAACAGGGTTATGGCCAGCAGGGTCAGTTTTGGAAACAAATCTGATCTTTTGGCTCTCTCTCGCTCTGCCTTTATTTTCTTTTGCAGGATATGGTGGCCCGCAAGGAGGCTATGGACAACAAGGTGGATACGGAGGATATGGTCAACAGCAGGGTTGGGGAGACCAGTCAGGATGGGGTCAGCAATCCGGTGGAGGCGGCTGGGGTGGCCAAGGCGGAGGCTGGGGCCAACAGTCCGGTGGATGGGGAGCGAGTGGTGCACCATCTGGGCAGCAGCAGTGGGCTAATGCTCAAGGAGGTGGCAGATACTAGTCTGATCTCTTTTTGACGCTTTTCAAGTGCTTATGCACATTGTGGTTGCCACGAAGTGTTATCTGATCTTCTCTCTTTGTTACGTATCTTGTTGTTCTTAACGTCATCGTTGACGTGTATCTCTTCAAATTACTGCTAAGCTGTATATAGAAGTTGGGCAATTAATTCCACGTTTTCCGTATTGAGTGTAAGGCTTGGCCATTTGGAAGTGCTTCGTGTTTTGTGCTATTGTTTTGTGAGATTTGTGGAGTTCTGTTAAGTAATAAAGCTAAGTTATAAGCGTAATTGTGTTCACATCTAAGACCTAAGATGAACATAGTAACGTAGACAGTTATGTTCGTTCGGGTTCCCATAGTTGAATGAAGAATAATACCAAAAGCAATTGTTTCTCCTTCCTCACGCAGGGGTTGTCCTGCTGGGTACATCACTAATTCTGCGCAGTCTGTCGCAGCAAAATATCTCATCTATTTTCCTTGAGGTACTTGTATGATTGTCGTCGTTGACACAGGTTGATGGCAGAAGTGTTTGGTCTCATTGCAGCTGGACGAGCGGTTTGTTTTCTCCACTTTGATATACACATTCTGAACTGTTTTAGCCCTCACAATTTGCACAAGTGGGTGAAAGAGAATTCCTGTGTGAAGTTGGGGATGCTGCAAATGTAAATCATGTAGTCGTCTTTATGACCGGTTTGCAGAATTTTCCGGAAGGTTTAGGAAGTTCAGGTGGAAACGACTATTTTGAGTTGATGATTATAACAGTTATATCTGTTTAGTATATGTGCGATGGCCTACACCGGACGGACAAGATGCCGGCTGGCACTATCTAGGTTTTTTATGTAATGCGAAACCAAGCGTGATATTCAAAATTGCTCAGGTATTGTTCTTTTTTTTCGAAATTTTTTAGAGTGTAAGTAAGATTTGGTTCTACTCTTTCAGCGAAAGGATAGTCAGTCGAAGTAGCTTCCAAGTTGGAATCCTAACCATCTTGGAGGGCCTAAAACGCTGATTTCGAATCTTTCTTTATCAAAGGGGCGTTCTAGACGAGGAGTTATGGACGTTTACTGGAGCAAAAATTTGAATCTGTAAATGAGATGAATATAGTCAAACATTTTTCTCAACGCTCCAGGATATTGCGATTTCAGGCAGTGGCGTGGGGGTCGCGCGCGATCTCGCCATCGTCACTTTTTTCAAATGCCCTATAGCACTTTATGCAATAACTCTTAAATAAAATGTATCCAGCTCCGCTGTCTTAGTTAAGCGTTAGGAAGATTTAGCCAATGTTTTAGGTCATGACTTTTCGCCCAAAAACGGTCCGCAATGGGGAAGACAAATTTGGAATCAGCGTTTTATGCGGTCGATTATGGTATACACTCTTGCTCAAGGGCCACTTCGGCTAATCATCCTTTCCTTGTTAATGAAGCACTGAGAAATGATTTCGAAGATGCGTTCTCGAATTGTTTTATTGTTGCTATAGATTCAATCCAAAATCAGTGACGGTGATACATCGATGCACATATGTACTTATGATTTCTTTTGAGTGCGAAATCAAGAGTTTCTTTTAGCTACATCTGTCAGAAGTACGTCACACTGGTGTTTTCGGTGGTGCTATGAGCTCCGGAACGATGGGATCAGTGCAAGTTGGCCTTATGGTGGAGCCCCTTACCGTTATAGAGGGACGAGCAGCAGCGGAAGGGACGCAGATTAGTCAGCAGGTGAGCACATCTGAGAATATTATCGCATTAATACGCCGCACGACTTGTGCAAGCTCCAGTTTCCATTAGTCAGCAGATTAGTCAGCAGGTGAGCACATCTGAGAATATTATCGCATTAAAGGCAGTGTCCGGGCAAAAACTCGATTTTGAGATTTTGTGCTTACCCGGGCCTTTTCGCTATGCTGAATCCGAAAATCCACATTGGAGAGCGCGAAAACGACGAAAGGCCCTAACACAGGAGGGAAATCAGCAGGTGGGCGGGGCTTTCCCCAGTGCGATTTCACGCTCCTGGCTCCCGGAGCGATTTTCTCGATTCCGCTAGCCGTCCTAACATCGCTACCGGTCAAGTGCGAATGATTGACTTGAAACCGGAAGCGAGAAGGTCGCTCCGGAAGCCGGGAACGTGCATTCGCATTGGGGAGGGCCCCGCCCACCTGCTGATTTCCCTCCTGTGTTAGGGCCCTTTTCCGTCATTTTCGCGCTCTCCAATGTGGATTTTTGGATTCAGCAGCGAATAGGCCCAAGTAAGCACAAAATCTCAAAATCGAGTTTTTGCCCGGACACTGCCTTTAATACGCCGCACGACTTGTGCAAGCTCCAGTTTCCATTGGTCACAAGGCTTTACTTTTCGTAGATGTCATTCTCTGACGAAGCGTGCGTTCCTAATTTTGGACGTTTTGCTTGTTTGCAGCATCCAAAAGGACTTCCTGAATTGTCGCAGATCCATAGGAATTTCTCAGTAATAAAGACGTGTGCCCTGGGCTCATTGTGCTATCTTTTCTATCGTATCCAGAATGATGCTGCGTGGTTTTAAGGATGCTATAGGATAGCGAAATTGTGTCCATTTTGAGCAGCAGCATTTTCCGACCAGCTTGCTTCATAGTATTACATGGAAATGATATGTTCATGACCTTTTGCTCTTTTCCTTGGTCTTCTGAAAGCTCGGTATTGCAGTCGACATTGGCGGAATTTGCCGAAACGATGCTAAGGAACTTGGTAAATCATGCGGAGTCGTACGCGACCAGGCTCAGTAGGCCAGATGGTCAAGGTCCGTCTGTTCAGTGAAACAATTTTTTACAGCAACGCTACCTAAAAGTAAAATTACAGGATATGCTGATTACATACCAGTTTCTGCGCTTCAGGAATGGTATAACAATTTTCGCCGTCGCTTTGAACAAAACCCATATTTCTGGAGGTCTCTTCGCAGTGTGTAGATTTCTGTCTTCGAATTCTTTCCAACGTTCTTTCGCTTGTATATTGCACTCCTACCCTTTCCAAAGATTTATGTCATTGTCATAGGTTTTGAAGGTTGTGTTCGTTTTGATGTTGTTGAAACTAAATCTGGACAAAATTAGTTAATCATCTCATGGGAAAGTACATGAAAGCCTGAAGCGTGAGCGATTATCATGCTTGGACTTCTGCGCCTGATAAACTGAAAATTCGTGTCCTGGCAATCTGGGTACTTTTGTTGCTTATGTGCAGACTGATGAGAGCTCAACTAGCTCATTGTTCAGACTGTAGCTCATATAATTTATTTGCAGCCGGGAGATCAAATGTGAATCCAGCCCATACCATACTCAAAAACGCTGTGGCTGTCAAAAACGCTAGGAGACAGCTTTGAGATTAGTGAGATTTCTTGATGTCACTAAAGAAGTACGCAGCCCGATTTGCCTAAACACACGAGGATCTGCTATGATAGCCGCGGCCCTTCAGGCTTCCGTGCGCTCTCGTGGTCTGGAACTAGACTCATGCACTCGTTCTTTCATTACAGTTCTATCTAGGACTCCATTTTACGTGCTCAGTTATAAGAGATATCACTTTGAAAAATTTTGATCAATAAAATGTGAGAATGATACTATTTATACAACGGAACCAATCTAAATCAGACTGGACATATGATAACGAAAGTGCATTCCATAATAGGTAGTGGACAATGGTGATCCGTAGCAAAACACATAATGCACTCAAAGTGGACGACATGATGATTATCTTGTCCCTAGTAGTGACCATATGCTGTACCAGTCCTAGACTATGATTGGTTCGTCTGGATCTTTCTTCGTATGCGCGCTCAATTGTAAGGGAGATCAGTTTGAAGTGCTGCATTTGGCCAAAACTTTCCCTCGCACAACGGCATAGTGTGAAAAATGTGATCGTAACGGTGCTATACCAAGGCATATACTCAGCTAGACTTCGAGCAGCGATTGATTTCGTTCTATGTTCTACTTTAAACTAGTTCTTTCAAAGAACAGGACTTGTTTGCATCGAATTGATGGGCTACTAATTATAACCCCATATTTCAGGACTAGAACTTGCAGCTGTGTGATATCAGGTCGTAAAGAATTTTAACCAATTTCTTTGCATCGAAACAGGTTATAGTACAGAATTTATTCTTATTTTAATCTGCAAAAGAAACATTAAGCAAAAGCAAGTAAATATTGAATAATGAAATTGTGTGGAAATAAGTTTCTGAATGGAACAATAGTGATATTACAGATTCATATTTTTCATCGAATATTCTCAGTAAAATTCGTATTTCTCAACTAAACTACTACTCGTATGCACATAACTATCAATCAAACGACATCTTCAATGGAATTGAGAACTCAGATGAGGTACATTAAAAGGAAGAGATCTTTGAAAAAAAAAACACGATTACCCGGTTTTTACAACTCATTTTCTTGAGAGGATTGAGGTCTTGGTGTAGATCGGCCACTGGTAATGTGTTCCCTTCTGCTCCTAGTGACGGGCACACGCAGACGTATAACTTCTTTTTCTAATTCGGCTACGCGCATTTTCAAATGATGATTTTCAAGTCGTACTTTCTCTATATAGCTGACCTAAAAAGTATGGATTATGAGAGTAAAGAGGGTTGAGAAAGAGTGAAGAATGAAGAGACATTAAAAAATTTAACTTACCTTCTGTCTATGATTGTTATGTCCGACCAACTCCATAAAAGCCCTGTCATCTTGTTCTTTTGCCGCATGAAGTATCTCGTTTTCCTATAAAAATGCGGATATATCCAAAGAGACAGAGGAGAAGATCATACCTTCTTTTTATTTTCCAACTCTTCTTCTAACTGTGTCTGATGGGCTTTCATTTCGTTGTTTTCTTGAAGCAATCTGAAAAACTCAAGCGATACTCGAAGTTCTTGGGGATGAGATAAAACGTACGAATCTTTCTCAGCAACCAATCGCATAATCTGGTGCTCTTTATCCTCTCTGTCAACGGTCAACCGCCGCTCTTTCGATGAAAATGTCCTAAAATGTTTGCATGTAGACGAAGAACAAAAATCACAAAATCCTTACTCTCTCAACTCCGCCATTTTCCTCTCAAAAGTATCTTGAGCTGACTGCCGAAATTCTGCGAACTGCTGCTTAAAAAAGCTTTATAAGCAAGCAATACAGATGGATTTTCCACCATACATGGTTATCTGAAAAAGTAAGGACTCACCCTGGTTTTGTTGTGAGCACTTTGTTCACGGTCTATCTGTGACTGAATATCCTTCACCTCTTCAGCATGACTACAATGGATACTTCGGTACACTGATACTCAATTAAAAAGTTATTGCTGCTATTATTACCGCCTTTTCAGATTGCTTATCTCCTCTTCCCTCTTTTGCTCCAGCTCTCTCAAGGCCACGTCTTTTTGAATAGTCATGCTCTGGAATTTGCAAATAAACGTCTAAAGTGACAACATTGGTTGTGAAGACGAGAAAGGGCTGACGATACCTTCAATTCATCTATCTGATCTTCAAGCTCTGTGACTTCATGATTTTTTTCACGAAGAGCACTGCTTTGCTCTTGTGTGATGCGACATAGTCGCGCAATCTCGTCGTCTTTTGATCTCATCATCTCCTATAACTTATGACGATATTTAGAAAACTCAAGCAAACGACATTCCTTACTCTGGTCTCCAAATGTGCGGCACGCTCGCTTTCTACTTCCGTTTGCAAAAACCTAAGTTCTTCGGCGTGACTGCAATGTACTTTTGCGGATCTACTGCAGCTGATTGAATAACACTACAAACCGGCTCTTCAGTTCAGACAATCCATCTTCTTTACTTCTTTCCGTGTTAGTTAAAGCCACTTCTAAGTTAGCGATGGTGTCCTACAATACACATGTTACTTGGAAAAAACTCATTACGTTGGACTGAAATGCCTAGAACTCTTACAAGGGAACGATCCCAACTTAAGGTGGCGAATTGGAATGAACCGCATATCATTAGATGCGTCTTGATGAGCTGATTCCAAATCTACCTTCCATATCTGCGACAACGTTATTTGCAAAAAGTTATGAGCGGTTGAAAATGTGAAGTTATTGGGGTTTTAATGCATAATGTGCTTCAAAATCCAACTTGAAAGTGCACGACTAGCATGATATTGAGTGTACTGATTTCGCGGAATTCTCACATTCAAAAGAAACACAAATAAGTGTTTTTGAACAGCTAAAAAGCAACTAAAGCTCTCTGGTAAAGGCTATGAGCAATGAAAAATCCAAATATGGCAAATTTACGCGCCATTTTCGAAAATTAGCTGTTCAAAAACACTTTTTTGTGTTTCTTTAGAATGTGAGCATCCCATGAAATCAGTACACTCAGTATCATGCTAGTCATACACTCCCAAGTTGGATTTTGAAGGACATTAAGCATTGAGACCCCAATAACTTCACATTTTCAACCGCTCATAACTTTTTGCAAATAATGTTGTCGCAGGTATAGAAGGTAGATTTGCAATCAGCTCATCAAGACGCATCTAAAGGTATGCGGTTCATTCCATTCGCCACCTTAAGTTGGGATCGTTCCCTCGTTAGATACTATTCAAATAATGTTAATGAGCCATGAAGTAATTCGTTCTTATTGAAATTCATCCAAAAGAAGAAAGCAAACATTAATATCATACCAACTGTGCCTTGCATTTCTCCTCAAGATCAAAGTTGCGCACCTTTATGGTAGCATTGTCTTGCAGCAAAGCTCTCAGTTCATTTTCTAGATTTCTTTTGGAGGATTCCTGAATAAAAAAAAATCGTTAGGCACGAATGCACAAACTTTTGAAGTACATTACCAAGTCGGCGAGGCTTCTTAGGTCACTAACAAACTTCTCTTGCTCGTTTGCCAGGACTACAACAGCAATTATCAAAAGGGAAAAAAACTTTCTATAGATATTCTTACTTTGCAATTTGTCCTCCAAATCGTCCTTCTCCGATTGCAAAACGTCAATTTGTTGTTTGAGTTGGCATTTCTTTCAACACATATGTATTGAAGGCATCAAGGAAGTAAACTGTATACCTCGTTGTTCGCATTAGAGATGTTGAGACTAAGAACGTCGTTACGTCTCTTTTCAGTAGCTAGCTTCTCCCGAAGTCCACAGTTTTCCAGACCAAGCTGCTCCAGCTCCGTTTTCAACGCCGACTCCCTGACCGTAAGAAATTTCAGCAAACTCACCTATTTACAGGACAAAACTTACGATTCTCGTAGCAACTGGTTTTCTTCTAACCATATTTTGGCTTGCTCTTTCTGTTTCTGAGAAAGACTTTCGATCTGTGATTCCTTTTCGGTGAGGATCTGCGAAAGACGATTGTTATCCATTTCGAGGCGCAAAAGTTTTCGTTCCTCAGCCATTTCTTCATCTTGCTCGAGATTCTGAAGTTAAAACAATAAGGAGGCTAATTTTAAGAAAGAAAATCATGCTTGCACGACCGTCCTTTTCGATCAAAAGAGACATCGTTCAACAGACCTGCGACTGCGGTGCAGTATTTTCCTCCGTGCTGTCGTCAAAAAGGACTGGCCTGAACGCTCGGGATGCACGATCTGCGGCATTTTTTGGTGTAAATAAAGTCTGGCGTCGTTCCTTTTTTTTCTGTGCTGCACTGCTAAAGGTGCCTGTCTTTCTTCTCCCCTGAAACACAGTCATCCTTCGTGCATGTGATGAAGTTCAAAAATTCAGAGGGCGAACATACAGTAGTAGGAGTTGCATTCAAGTTCAGTCTACGTAGGGGAGATGCCAGTGTCTCGTCAACTCCCTCCAAAACGTTCTTATATTTTTCGTTCAATGCCTTTCTCGCTGCTTCGGCACTCTCAAAACGGACACGCATTTGATCTAGCTCTCGCAAAGCCTAGAAAGCACCAGCGCGATTATTTTTAAGAAAACACTAAGGAAAATCGCTGAAGAAAATCATAGCGTCATCGAACTTTTGAAAGGTCGAATTCAAAACAACTCAAAACCTACATTTGACAAGTCGTTTTCAAGTTGTGCCCTTGACAACTCTTCGTAATTTCGTATAGAAGCGATTCTTTCTGTCAGTTTAGACTTCAATTCGTTCATGATCTCATCTTGTGGCTGCAAAGATTTGATATGTAGAATAATCGAATTGAGTTTCACTAACTCGTTCTCCTTCATTAGATGGACCACTGGGTAATTGGGCAGCAAATAAATCACGCTGCAACTGCGCTTCTACTAGGGCTCGTTCACGATCTATAGCCAATTGCTTCCACTGCTCCATCTCTTCTTGAATCGCTGCCAGCCTGTCCTCCATTTCTAAAGCATACAGCCCAGTGACAGAATATTGATTCCCACTCTTTTTACAGCTCAGTGCCACACACCTGCTCTGACATTTCCCTCTATGGAGCCTAACTCTTCCCGCAATCGCTTAATTTCAGCCTTATACGCCATCACAGTGTCGCCAGACAGGTCCTCGTTAGCGTGAATCTTGTTTTCGATCTTACGGCAATTCGACGAAAATTGTAGCGTTGAAAGAGTCTCCGTGTAGTAGCTGCAATGTACCGGCAAATAAACTCTGAAGTTCAGTTCAACATAGTATCAGACTGATTCATAATAAACGCGCATTTGTAAGATCAGCATTGTTTTGAGATAATTTTTTTAAAGACGATTTTGCTGAACAAAGGATTGAAAAAGGAAGTCTTTGCTATTCAACACATACTTCTGTACAGAAGTAGCGTTCAAGACTGCCAAAATTGTTCGGATCTCAAGTCTAAGAGAGCATAACTTACTCTGAATTGTAATGAAACAACGCAAACCCTGCCAACGTGTAGCCAATGAGTCTGTTTAGCAGTGACGCCGAGCTCAGATTTTACAGATCTTTTTTGCAAGAAATGTAGAATGTCGTAAGTATCCTGTTACTGATTCTCCAGAGAAAGCGAAACAATGTCTTTTTGACAACTTTCAATTTTCCCCCTTAGTGGAAAACACAGTGTTGCCATGTAGTACAAAAGTTGAATAGTTGGTTTTGCTCCTTTCAAGGCACAAGGACGAAGGCGACGGCGATCGAATGATTATGTCAAGGTCTTTCGGCTCGAGATTCTTAAGATCTCGTCTCAAAAAGCAATTTGTAGCATAAAGTAAAATTAATCCAGCTACTATTCATTATTTCAAAGCGAGAGGAGTGATAGGAAGGAACTTCAAGTTGCAGTTTCTTAATTTTAGAGGCAAGAAATTCTGGGATAAAAAGAATCAAAACCTATGCAAAAAAGAAAAAACGCTGTTTTAAATTACAAAGGTTTACAGAAAAATGGTTCTGTCTTAGAAAGGAGCCCGTGAATGAAGAGCAAGAAAATACGCATTGATTATAAACCAACCCCAAACACTGCAACATTGCAGAAAAAACAATAGTAGCTTTTTCAAAATGGAACAGAGTTAATCTTAACTGATTATCGTACCCAGCTTCAAGCTTACAACGAGCAATTCAATCTTCAAAATCACTCATACCTCTTATCCGGGTGAAGATTCACGATCACCACTGTCCGACTATTCCCTCCCAGCGAGTCGCGTAAAATGTGGGTCAGTTTGGAGTCCCTGTATGGGACATGAGTATCACCGTGATTAGCTTTTGCCAACGTACGTATTACTCTACCGAGGTGCGTCAGAGACTAAAAAGAGCATGACTGAAGTATAGATTTACGATAACAACATCATACCAAGTTGATCCTGGTTGCTTCTCTAAACCGAGCTCCGGCAGTCTTTGCCTGGGTTTGCCGCTCCGAACCGGCTAGGTCTACCAAATTTAAGATGGCCGTTCTTTTATTCACAATAGTATTGACTAATTCTTCAGTTTTGATCTGTGTAGAGGAAGATTCAGTGACTGCCTTGGGAACTGAATGAAGGCGACTTACTTCTACTATGAAAATGGCGTGAGATCGCGATGATTCGCGATTCATGGCTGTTTCTGCCGTCCTTCGTGCATCCCATCCAACTTCCAGAATCTGTATATCTCTAAGTTCGCTTTGGAGATAAGAATCTATGCATACGTACCCTCATCATATCAATGCTAGAGTGTACGGAGTGCTCAGAGACGCCGAGAATTTGCACAACCTGCAAATCGTTTTGCGAGCCATGAGAATTGAAGTTTGTGAGTGTTTACCGTAGAATCGCTGCGGATTGCCAACTTTTGCTGCGAATTCCCAAGCAAGTCGTAAAAATCCTCATTGTATAGCTCGACAAACTTGCACCAAACTTCGTATTTGAAATTTTCACCTTTCTAAAACTATTAGAGATGAAAGTTGAGATTGCTGCATTCCAGAAATTCTCATTCACCTCAGCAGTTAGGGTACACAACTTCTGAAATAGAGCTTCACATGCGCGTGGAATAACGCCACGTTGTGCAGGATTAAGCATGAAGTTCTCTACATGGTGCGGTCCCAGCATCGTGTGTGTTTTTCCAGATCCAGTTTGTCCTACAAACGCTCACTAACGTCACCTACTTAGGTTCACAAAAAAAGCACTTTCAAACACAGGAGGTTTCTCCATTTTTCAGAGGTCGCTGCTTAGGTAGTGGGAAAAATAAAACATAAAGAACGCACCATAAGCAAAAATTGTCCCATTATAGCCGCTGATGCACCCATCTATTATTCGACTTGCCACTTCATCGTAGATCCGCTCCTAAATCAAAAACAAAGCCTAGAAATTAACAGCTCATAATCCTGTGAAGTACCTGATCAACATCTTCTCCGAAAACCGCATCAAAGGCAAAATTCCTAGGATTCCTTGGATCGAAGCTGGAAATATATGACTTAGTGAAAAATCATTAGGATGCTAAAATATTATAGCCCTTTACGAAAGCTTTTATTACAACATGAATACACTGTCAGCTGAATTTTTCAAGTTGATTTGAATGGCTCAAATTTTAGACGTTTTTTTCCCGTATTCGAATCAATTATATTACTCATGCAAGAACAGTACAAGTAGAAAAAGAAGCTCATTGTGAGGTTTCGGCACAATACCTTGCTTTGACCAAAATTAGCACAGAGACTCCCATAAATCCCACTTCTTTCTCCTTGCGCACAAAACGTAAAAACTCTCTATTTTCAAGAGCGCTTACAGATAACATGCTCTTAAGTGGTTGATGAGTTAGAATTGGGTGTGAACAACACTCACCATAGGTTTTTATCGTCCAGCACTTCTAGTACGCGTTCCTGAGGGACTCGTGATGCTGATGGACGAACACGAGCGGTTACGCGAATGAATTCCGCTCCCGGCATTACTAGAAACTACGAATGTAAATAGTTAGCAGGAATGGCAGGTTAACATCAAAGCGTGAATGCGAACTAATCATAGAAGGTTGTGAAAAATTCTCTGGAACATGGTTAGAACCAATATTCAAATTTGCAGATCCACCATAATTACGAGGTGGTAGATAGAAAAGTGTAAGCAATTGAGAAGATTTGTAATTCCCACAGAACGATTGCTGGTTGAACAAATTCAGAACCTACAAGATTTTCACCTTCTATCGTTTCCCACAAACTCGTGTACTTCTCCCAACAAAATGTGTGGATGAGGAGCAAGAAACTAATAGTTGCGAAAGCGTTTAGAGACTTGGGCAAATACTCCATGATCATATTTCTGTCCTTAGGCGCGCTAAGAACAAGAAGTCCGTGACTTGTCTACCGCTGAAAAGCTCACTCTGCATTTGAATCTTTGGAACTGATTCGATCCCGATACAGACAAGGGAGCCCTAAATCTGTCGCAATTACCTTGGTCGAATAATGAAGTTACTGTTACAAGCGATGCGAAGAAGTTCTCCAGACATCGTCAAAGGCAAAGAGCAAGCATGTTGGATAATCGTATAGGTCAAACAATCAACAAAAGCAGCTGCGGAAGTCTATGTAGAAGTGAAGTAAAATCTAAAAATAAGTAAGACAAATTTAGAACTAGCTTAATTCATTATGCAAGTATGACAGTTCACTCTTTAAACATTAGGTTCTAATAACCAAAAACTCTACTACACCGTCAAACAGTGATTTGTGATAGGAAACTCAAAAGGTGATGCATGTCCAACTAGAAATAATGACATGAGATGGACGTCAAGCAGAAGGCAGCAAAGGCTTACCGCATTTGCTTCTGGAAGTGCTTGGGGAGCTCCAGATTCCTCGTGCCTCTAATCACTTTTCGCACCTCTGATTACTTTACAAGTTAGAGGATTGAACGAAAACCTTTTTGAAGAGTATCACACTTCAGTATCGCACTGGATCAGTGTGAGAATCTTGCAGTCAATCATTCCAATCTCAGCTATAGTCGTTTTAGGCCTCTTTAAGTATTGGGTTCAAAGCACTCTACTCCAGAATTCGTAACAGAAGGTTGTGATTCTGCTGCAGAATAAACGAGTGCAATTTCTTCAAAGTCCTTGTCTTCGATCGGTATTAACTTAGAAAGATCTACATGTGAGATTCTGGTTGAAAGATTGGATAGGCCAATTCATACTTTTGACTCACTTAGGCTTTGGCCATACTTTGCCAGTGTTGCCGGTGTTGAAAGTGTTGAACGGAGATCATCAGTCTAGCAGTTTCATTCTTTCTCGAACGATCTCACCGGCTGGTGAATACGTTGGAAATGGAATTGGGGAATGAGAAATGAAACTGAAATGAGATGGGGAAGATTTTCGCATGCAAAAGATCCTCAAACAAACTTTTTGGAAAGTGGATGGCATGTCTGGAATAGGCAATCTCCAATATTTGAAAACGCTGCAGACCTCACTTGATCCTTCACTCACTAATCGCAGGCGCGGCAGGATTCGAACTAAAACACATTACTACTCAGACTTCAGCTTTTTCAAATATTGGAGATTGCCTATTCCAAACAAGCCGTCCACTTTCCAAAAAGTTTGTTTGAGGATCTTTTGCATGCGAAAATCTTCCCCGTCTCATTTCAATTTCATTTCTCATTCCCCAATTCCATTTCCAACGTATCCACCAGCCGGTGAGATCGTTCGAGAAAGAATGAAACTGCTAGACTGATGATCTCCGTTCAACACTTTCAACACCGGCAACACTTTCAACACTGGCAACACTTTCAACACTTTCAACACTGGTAACACTTTCATCACTTTCAACGCCGGCAACACTTTCAACACCGGCAACACTGACAAAGTATGGCCAAAGCCTTAACGTTGAATGGCTATCTATGGGTCCTTTTTGAACTTGTTATCTTATTTGCTATGAATTTAAAACATAAAAGCTATCTCAGAACTTGTCACGCTTTGAGGACTCAACGATCAATTTGGCATAGGTCATATGATAATTAGAAGTGCAAAGAAGTAATTAGAGGCGCGAGAAAGTCTGAATTCCCTAGGTACTTCCATAAGCAGAAGAGGCGAGCCTTTGCTGCCTCCTGCCCGACCGCCACATGAGATGACAGTAAAAGAGTGCTTAGCAATTCAGATTCGCCCATTTCATGACGAGATGGTAAAGGACCACTCAGGCCGTGCAAGTAGTATAAAAAAGTTTTTAGTGAAACAGTAGCGAAAAGCTAAGAAGATAGAGTCATGAATGCATACAGGTTGAAGATGAGATAGGACGACTAGATAAATAGATATAAATTGGTCGAGCTAAAGCTAACTGAAAAAAGTCGTAACCCTTCCCGCCATCATAAGAATTCAGAGCTCAGCAGTCTTTGATTTTTGAGGGATCATAGATCTAAAGCCTGACTGCACGAGTACGGTTTGTAAAACGCATGAAACAGCGGTAGAAGAGGGAATCACACCAGTTTATGAAACAAACGTAATACCTTACCACTACTTCTTTGAGATCGTGGATAACCGAGCAATCCCTGGATAAGCCTCAAAAAATAATGTGCATCACCAGTCAGCAAATGCTCTTGCGATAAATGAGATCACCATCGATAACGCAAGACATTTGAAAAAGATTATTTCGCGCTTTACTGTGTGAATTTGCGTGTGCGAGCGGGACCACGTACAAAGTAAACTACCGTTGTAAGCAAATCAAATCACGCCCGAGTCGGTAGTCGCAGATTTGTTTTGAGTTGCTTTCCTCAGAAAACAACGTGGTTCAATCTGGCCTTATAATGCGAAGAAGTCTACTGCGGTGAATTCCATAGCTTTATCATCCAAAGATCGTCATGTATGCTTACTTGAACGAGACCGACGACTCTACAACAGTGAACTTCAGCTCCTATGGAAGTTTTCTACCTGGTAAAGGTGTGTTTTCTTCTTCTCAGTAACCTCAGTTAATGTTTGGTTGAATGAAAAGTCCTAAAAATATTTTGAATTATGGAAAGTTTTCATAGATAAAAAGAATCGCAGTGGTGTGGTCTACCATTCAGCATCCTTTTAAGTAATGCGCAATCGTTTGAGTATGATTTGGCCTGTACATTTCTTTCGTATAGACTCTTCAAATCGTTCAGTGGAAGTGTAATCTGTGTAATTTTTTAAGGCTATATGGCCCCGGGCAGAGTCACGCGATTTGATCGTCGCGATTCAATCGCTACAAGACAAGTGATACGAATTCATTGCACGCCATTCATTCTTCTTGCATTTCGGTTGTGATAGTTTTCCAACACGACTAATCGTGACCAACTATCACAATCGAAATACAAGAAGATCGGCATGCAATGAACTCGTAACACTTCTCTTGTAGCGATTGAATCGCGACGATCAAATCGCGTGAACTCTACCCGAGGCCTATGGAGTAATGGTCACCGTATGCTTTCATATATATCATACAGTTTCCGTGAAGTGTTGAATAGATTTGAACAACCTTTTGCGGAAGTAGTCAGATCTTTTTTTACTGCCTATCGTTTACTTGCAGTGCCTCTAGAAAGTTATTATCATGTAGATGTGTTCACGATGATGCTCATATTCGTGAATAGCATGTCAAATAACCCTAGAGACCAAGTTTGAGCTGAGTCCGTGAAACTTTCGGCGGTCAAATTGCGCCGGATAAAGCTTTTCTTGATGTCTTTTTCATTTGCGAACATTCTATGATATGTATTCGTTGATATTTATGTTTAGGAAGCCAGCTCCTCACAGTTGGCGCTAAGCATCTCCGATTGTTTCGCACCAATCCTTACACTTTGATTCCTCCAAAAGACGCGTCGGACGAATGGAAACAGAAAACCAAACTGGAATGCGTGTTCAGTTGTCGCTTCATGTCACCAATTCAATCATTTGCAAAGGCTAAACTTCCAGGTTTGTGATCTGACCAGATTTCATATGCTATCGGTAGTTTCTGTTCGCATCTTTCAGGTTACCCCAATAGTGAGGCCTTGCTGCTTGCTTTCGAAGGCTGTAACGTCTCTGTCGTCGCCATCGATCCTGAAGATCGAGCTCTTAGCACTATCTCCTTGCACAGCTTTTCTTCGGAGTTCAAACGCGATGGATTTACATTTCATTGCCACGAGCCTATAGTTAGGGTACGTAGTCTTCAAAATTTAACGGATCTTCCATGTTCGACTATTTCTGAATCTTGGCATAGTGTCAATTACGGTATATGATGTTAAGCTTTCCAAGATTGGTAGTTCCTTCCTTTATTGTCAGTAACATCAACAATCAGTACGGTCTACGTTTCGGCGGAGATCGCCTTTTACGGACCTGGAAGCGAGTCAACGTGTGCAGTAATTCACTCCAAGTGTAGACATACCTTGGAGGTATGTCTAGGTAAGGAGTGAATTATGTACAAGGTCTATGTATGTCTAAGGTATGTCTACCCTTGGAGTGAATTATTGCACACATTCACTCACTTCCAGATCTTGAAAAAGGCGATCTCCGCCGAAACGTAGACCGTACTGATTGTTGACTGTTACTGACAGTAAAGGAAGGAACTACCAATCTTGGAAAGCTTAACATCATATACCGTAATTTAACGGATCGTTTTTTGGAAGAAATTTAGCATTTACTTAAAGGCACCGCCCACCCTAAGTTGAGCGTCTAGCTTTTGGCAGCATATGACAGTACAGCCCCCCATCAAGCCGGTCGCAGTCGCAGCGGTCGCAGCGCAAAATGTCGCTTCGGAAGCGAGAAAATCATTCCGAAATACGTAAGACGCACGAGGAGTCCTAGACGGCGCCGCCCTCCCCATCCATGCCCGCCCATCCGTGCGCGCTATCTAATCACCGCTCCGGAAAGTCGGCCTGTGGGTTCTCGGAACGGGGATTGTCGGGATTTTCACGAATTTTCGATTTCATATTCGGAATCAGGGACATGAGAAGACCCTGTGAAACGACAAAAATCTGGAATTCAATTTGGTGGACGGTGCCTCCAAAAGATCGTCCACCCAAATTGGGGATGGTGAAATTTTAATGCTGTGTAATAGTGGGGCTCCTAATTAAGTAATTGCCCTGGCCCCACTGGAGAGGTGAATGCCCAAGCGAGAAAATCGGTCCCAGATGGTAGCAGCGGCCAGATGGCTCCGCTTATCAACGTGGGTAATATGGGGTTAGGGAGTAAAAAAATGGGCTTCCGAGCAGACCGAAATGTCGAGATTTAATGATCACAATCATCTCTGATACATAGCCCAATTTTGAGATTGTTTCTTCAAATACTAGTTAATTGGCGTAGCCACTATGGCCGCTTCTACATTCTGAAACTTTTTCGCTTCTCAGTTCATCGTAAGCAGTGGGGCTCGCTATCATACAGCACCAAAATTTCATTATTACTATGGATGGATGGTGCCTTCAAGGGTGGTGGAATAGAGTTTTTCGCACTATGAACTCACTATCTTTTTTTGGTTGAGCTTTTCATTTACTTTCTACACATCACCACATACTTTCTAGACCGATCCCGCAAACAGATGTGGTGCTGCTGTAATTTATGACAGGATTCTGGGTATTCTTCCATTTGATGGCGACTTCATCAATAGTTTCTCAATTCCTTTATCCGAAATTGATCATAGGTGAGGTAGCTAGATTTTTTTTCGCATCTATGTAGTTCTTTACATCGTCTGTTGCAGACTTGAGAACATTGTTGACATGGTTTTTCTGGATGGATATTATGAACCTACCTTACTATTCCTGTACGAACCGCATCAGACAACGGCGGGAAGGTGGACTTTTGATTTTTTACTTTGCTTAATTTTTTTGGCAGTGTATGGAAATCCATTAGTTTTTGATTCTTTTTCATGGATGTTTTTAGGGCCTCGGTGCGGTACGATACCATGCACTTACTGGGGGTTTCCGTAAATGTATTCGATGAGCAGGTTGCCATTGTGTGGCAAGTGGGAAGTTTACCCATGGATTGTAACAGGTGAGGCAATTTTAAGGTTCATATTTTCAGTTGCTATCTTGGTAGCCTTTTAGAATTTTACATATATTCAAGTCTAACGTAAGTTTTGAGCGACAAACGCGCATATTTCGCTAGGAACTCTCCAACTAGTTATTTGAAATAAAAATGAAAGGAAGAAAGAAAGCTGCAATGTTTTTGGCATAGATACAAACCATGCTTGACGTTCAGACCATTTTATCATTGCCACTAAAATCTCTTTCAGGCTTGTGGCTATACCAAAACCACTGGGTGGAGTTCTGGTGATTGGATCAAATGAAGTCATATACTTGAACCAATCAGTGCCTCCCTGTGGGATTAGCCTGAACAGCTGTTACGACAACTTTACGAAGTTCCCCTTGAAAGTAAGCCCTTGCTTTGGCTTCTCATTCTGGTGCCTTCTGTTTGAAGGATTTGAAACATATGTCTATGACTCTGGATGCTGGTGCAGCAGAATGGGTTGGTAATAATCATGTTGCATTGGGTACAATGGATGGCAGATTGTTCATTCTTACTCTTCTCACAGATTCTTCAGAAACTGTTAGATCTCTTGATATAGAGCACGTTTTTGGTAAGTTGCATGTGACGTACTAGTGGTAGTGAATTCATCTCAGATTTGCAGATACGTCCATTGCTTATTGCATGAATTTATGTTCTCCTGGCCGCCTCTTCATCGGTTCTCGACTTGGTGATTCTCAGCTTTTAGAATTTATCGTGGAAAAGGAGGAAATAAGTAATTTTTGTTATTCTCCTACAAAAGAAGAAGATTGTAGCCTTGCTCAATTTTAGAAGAGGAATCCTCTCCGGAACCGAAGAAAGCCAAAGTCGAGGAAAAGATAAACGCGGATGAGGACGATCTTGAACTTTATGGCGAACAAATTATTGAACAAGTGGTGAGTGCTGTCTTTTATCTATCACTTTTACCTATAACAACAGTCGTGAATAATAAATTATCAGCGTTTTAATCTAGCGAAGCCTGTTATTATACTTGAGAATATCTGAGAAAGTCAGCTTTTACCCTGAAACCTTGAGCAATTTATTTGCATAGATTCTCTTCCAGACGTGAAGAAGTGAGAGCGTTCATGCTCCTGCAAGCTAATGGCTAAGGTAATGACTGTCCTCGTTGTCCTCTACCTCAAACAGTCAGGAGAGAGTACAATGAGCCTAAATAGTAGTCAAGTGGGGTTCTTGATCGAATATCGCGGCCCTAAAATACAGTCTGATTCTTCAGTTTTCTGCCATTTCTCAGTATATTCTGGTTGGCTGACCACATTTTTTCTCAGCTGCACGATCCGCATACCAGCGTTGACTAGAAAATAAGATATTTGAAAAATATTTTTTATACTCTCCGATTCCTAAATCTATTTGACAACAGCATAAAGCTGTTAAGTGTGAGGTTTTGCAGGCAACAGTCAAGGAGAAGTACAAAGAGAAACTTATATTTTCTGAGCTCGATCGGTTAACTAACATCGGTCCCATAAAAGCGATCACCGCTGGTGGTGCCCATGGAGTCAGTCCAATTTTGCTGGAGCAGGAAAGAGCAGACCCTATATTTGATATTGTGGGTTTTGCGAAATTTGGTTCGAACAAGGTCAATCCAGAATTTCTAGATTGTTGCTTCTGGACATACAGTCAATGGTTCAATTTGTGTACTGCAAAGGACGGTGCGGCCAGACATAATCACCAGCAGTTTGTTCGTTTTTCTTCTCTTTTCATGCTGTTTTCTACATTTGATTTTAGCCCAGATTTTTCTATGTGATTGTTTAGCTTACAAGACGCTCAACAGCTTTGGGCAGTAGGAAGAAGAGAGGATGATTCTCACAAGTAGGGCTGCAAGCTTACACCGATTTTTATCTGGATGTGTTAACATTGTGATCGCTACTTTTTGCTTTTAGATATCTCATCGTATCTCGTACACGATCTTCTCTGATTCTTGAGTTAGGGGAAGATATGGTTGAATTGGAAGAACCCCTTTTTCTGTCGGACGAACCTACCGTTGCAGCAGGAGAGCTAGCTGATGGTGGTCTTGCTGTTCAAGTATGTTTATTTTCATCTTTTTTATCTTATTTTTCATCGTACTGGCACTAGAATGTTTTACGCTGTTTATTTCATTCGCTGGCTAGACTTTTCAGTAATGTTTAGGTGACGTCACTGCGTGTAGCTCTTGTGGCAGAAGAAAAACAACTCCAACAGATTGATTTGGATTCCAACTTCCCTGTTGTTGCCGCATCAATAGTTGATCCTTACGTGGCTTTACTGACTCAAAACGGGCGCTTGATGTTGTTCCATCTTGTTTTGAACCCTGTTGTGCACCTACAGGTGACGGATCTAATGTTTGGCGCTGATATAAAAAATTTCGACCTTCATTTAGGAAATTGACATATCCAACACTGCATTTGCCGAAAGAACCGTTCATCATCGAGCTCCCTTGACGGCACTGTCTATTTATCGCGATATGAGTGGACTCATGGTTTGCTCTCAAGATGATGCAAGCATCGCTGAAGGAAGAAAAGCTAGCAGGTTAAGAAAGGTCTGTTGTTTTTTTTTTATAAGGGTCAATGTTTGTATTGATTCAATCAAGGCGGCTGCACGCCGAACTCTTGTGGACTCCATCGACATTGACCTTTATGGCGATGAGGGATTACCCACTAGTAATGCCGTCGTCGATGAGGACGAGCTATTGTATGGAGAACCGGCAGGAAATAAAAAAGGTGTGGTAATTGCTGTCAATCCATTACCGAAAGTTACACTAGTGAGTTCAGATGAGAACGTTCGAAAAAGGAAGAGGATTGCTGACATAAGTAGTGTCGCAACTGGATGCGAGGAATCAGATGCCATTGATCCTAATACTGGTTTGTAGTTCGTAATTTAGCTTGTCACCACCGATAGACAGTAAGTTACTTTACCATTCAGTGGAGCCTACGTACTGGCTCGTACTAGCTCGCGACAGTGGGAAGGTTGTAATCCACTCTCTACCGGATATGAAGATAGTTTACCAGGTGAGATAGCGCTTATCCTTACCAGCTGGACTGAGACAGCTTCGTCCTTATTTGACGCATTGAAGAGAAAGACGAATAAGTTAAGGAGTTGAAACTTACTGTAGAGAAGATAAAACCTACTAAGAGACTTTATTGTACCATTTATGATACTCTCTTTGTAGCCAAGAAGTTGTTTCACATATCAGTTTTGGTTTATATGTTTTGATATTCAGTTTTTGAAATTTGGATTGATGCCTGAAATAGTGACAGATCTGATGCCTGAAGAGGAAGAGAAGGACAAGAAAGAACAAGGTTTGAGCATTCAGATAGATTATTCAAGCTGCATGTCTTCTCTTTAGAAGCGCGCGCAGAGCAGTTTGAAAACTCTTCAATACAATTTCGGCCCAATGAAAGGGTCGTCGAATTGCAGATTGTTGGCAAGTTTCCTTGCATTTTCATGTGTGCATGCGAATCATTCGCTGAGGATAAATATTTTGAGGTTTGGGCATCAACCAGGGTCATCCCACTCTAATGGCTGTAGTTGACGACCAAGTCATCACATACGAAATGTATAAGTGGAGGAATCCCCTGCGAGGTTTGTTTACTTGGTTGTTTTCGAAGATCATTGCAAAAATAGGACAGTTCTCAGAACATCTTGCTATCGGCTTCCGCCGGTTGTCAGTGACTGTGACGATCAGATCCACTCCGTTCATGGGACACGATGGACGGAGAGCGGAAGTTAGTGCAAGCCACTTCATCTTGTGCTCCTCTAATGTATGCTTATTAGGTGGAAGTAGGAAGAGAAATTGAGCAACATCGGGTGATCATCCATCCTTTCGAACGTGTCTGTGGCATCGTAAGTCATTGCAGCTTTTTCCATAAAAATTGCAAGTAAGGTCTGTTTCAGATGAATGGTGTAATGCTCTCGGGTGCATATCCTTGTCTGGTTTTGATCGGAGCATGGGGTGGTCTTCAGTGTCATCCCTTGACCATTGACGGTCCTATATCTGCTTTCACCCCATTCAACAATCAGAATGTACCGAATGGCTTTCTGTACATCGTTAAGAATTCACAGGAACTGCGGATTGCCAAGTTGCAGGTACGGCCAGCTCTGATGTGCATCTGTTGAAGTTACGTATTGAACTGATTGTATTTTCAGAACGATTTTGACTACGAACTGCCTTTTCCTTGTCGAAAAGTCCATGTCGGCGCTACAGTACACCACGTGCGATACGTGATGAATAGTCAAGTATGTAAGAGATAAGTACTTACTAGGTTTTTAACGAACTTATATTTAAGGTCTACGCTATAACGACATCCGTCCCCATGAAAAGCAATAAAATCTGGGTAGTGGTAAATGACGACAAGCAGGTGGAAACTCATGAAAAGAACAAAAATTTTGTCCTTCCGTCAATTCCTCAATACGCCCTCAATGTGAGCACATAAGTTGTTAGATGCCTCGGATCATATTTGTTTTCAGTTATATTCTCCCGTAGACTGGAAACCAGTCCCAAATACGGATATCAAATTTGAAGAGATGGAGGTTGTAACAGCATGCGAAGAAGTGACATTACGCTCTGAATCTACAATAAGTGGTATGCAAGCGTATCTAGCTGTGGGGACAATCAACAATTATGGGGAAGAGGTACGAAAGCATAGCGCCAGTTTTTCTTTTCCTTATGGACCTGTGTTGCAAATTTTTTCTTCTTCATTGCTAGAAAATCAAAATTTTGGTGAGCTTTGTAAGGAGTTCAAGCACTATGAGTAGAGAGTTGATGATCAGCAAAATTAGCCAAATGTAAAACTCTCTACTCATAGAGAGCTATTAACTGCAAACTATCTTCGAACAAAAACAAAAAACAAAAACAAAAACAACGCAACGTACTCTTTTGACTCAGTATATAATTGCGGCAGTTTCTGATAAAGAAACAGGTGCATTAGACTGCAGATGCGGGTGTTGAACAAAAACTTCTTTTGTTTTTTGCAACAATAAGGCTTGTAGCTTTTTGAAAGTGAGAGTCACAAGACGTGCATTCACGCGGTTGAGAAAGGAATCTTATATATAAAGCTGAATGTCTGTTTGTATGTCTGTCTGTCTGTATGTCTGTCTGTCTGTACGTATGTTCCGAATAGAAAATTCCATTTCTGAAGCGATCCGGACCAAACTTGGCACACATACACTACGGGCCCCGGCGGGTGTCATAGGCTACTTTTCGTCATCGATCGATATCGATTTTATTGATTTTTATCGATTTTTTTTTGCTGAGTTCACCTACGGGGCTGGGAGTTGGCACAGGGGGGTAATGGAGCATGGGGATTCCGAATACAATATTGGTTTTCAGGATTATCGATTACTTTTATCGATTTTATCGATTTTTTTGCAAAGTTTGAGCTAGGGGGCTGGGAGTTGGCACAGGGGGGTAATCGAGCATGCTGATCACCCCCAAGGGGGGTGATCAGCATGCCGTAATCTGCATGCTCGATTACCTCCCTGTGCAAACTCCCAGCCCCGCAGGTCAAACTTTACAAAAAATCGATAAAATCGATAAAAGTAATGGACGATTCTGAAAACTAATATTGTGTTCGTAATCAGCATGCTCGATTATCCCCCTGTGCAAAATCCCAGCCTCGCATGTCAAAATTTACAAAAAATCGATAAAATCAATAAAAGTAATCGATAATTCTGAAAACTAATATTGTATTCGGAATCCCCATGCTCACTTCCCCCTCCCCTGTGCCAACTCCTAGCCCTGTAGGTGAACTCTGCAAAAAAATCGATAAAAATCGGTAAAATCGACATCGATCGATAACGAAAAGTGGACTGTGACACCCGCCGGGGCCCGAAGTGTATGTGTGCCAAGTTTGGTCCGGATACGGCGGAGCCGGGTAAGCCAGCTAGTTGGAAATAAGCGAAAAACAATTTTCTCGAGAAGTATCCAGTATCTATCTTCGAACAATTTTTTTGAAAAAATCAGACGGCTAATGAAGGTGAGCATCTACAAAGATCGTTTTAAGGTGCTTGTAAGAGGTCGCATAATTCTTGCTGAGATAATCGACGTAGTTCCGGAGCCTGGAAAACCCACTTCAAAGCACAAAATAAAAGTTAGATATCTTTTGTTCATGGTTGATTCAGAATATCCTCTATTTTTTGCAGATCTTATATGACAAGGAACAGAAAGGGCCGGTTACTGCTTTGGCATCTATCAATGGACTGTTGCTCAGTGGCATGGCACAAAAGGTGAGTATTAGGCCTCTTTCATTTCACTGATTCGTATCTATTTTAGATATTCATCTGGGGTTTTCGTGACAATGATTTGCAAGGTATTTCCTTTCTGGATATGCATTACTATGTGCATTCTTTGATCTCTATGCGTAATCTTGCGATCGCATGCGACATGCACGACTCAATGTCGTTGATTCGCTTTCAGGTTTGCAATCCTTTCAGTTGATAGCATTGATCCGGAAAAGTCTTGCAGGAGCAGTTCAAAGCCCTTTCTGTTGCATCTCGGGACGATCGTGTGGATGTCCCATTTCCCATGGCTGCACAATTTTTAGTGGATAACAAGTAATTTGGTTGGGTACATGCTTTGCAATGGATTTTACTGCACAAGTTTCAGTCATTTGGCTTTCTTGATGTCTGATGAAGCTGGCAATATTTGCTTGTTTAACTACATGCCCGAGACACAAGAATCCAACGGAGGTGAACGCCTAGTACTGAGGGGTGTCCTCAACATAGGCACAAATGTGAATGCCTGGCTCCGGGTGAAAGGTTAGATTTGCATACATACACGGTTATGCTCAACAATTATCAATTCAACAATTTCTTGCCAAATGTAGGACACACTTCTTTGTTTGCGGTATCACCGCTTGACGTCAAAAGCATCACACAACAACAAACGAGTGTATGGGCCTCTCTTGATGGCTCTCTTGGCATTGTGCGCCCGGTTTCAGAAAGGCAGTTTAGGTGCGATTGGGGGCTTGGAATTTGAAACCAATCAGATGTTATCTATTTATAGGCGGCTACACTTCTTGCATCAGTGTATGTCCAATTCTGTAGGACAACTTGCTGGACTGAATCCGAAGGTGAGCATTTCTATAGCCTCTATATTTTCGAAATAGCAGTGCAGGAATGAGGGAAATCCGTTATGCCAGCTCTATGCTAAAATAGAAAGCTTGGCTTGGTAGATCAAGTGCTTGGTCTTGTTGCAGTTTTATTTGAATTGCGGTAATAAAAACATTCCTTGAGGGTGCTCGTGGAGGGAAGCCGATTCGTCCACTTGTAAACGCTACCAACACCAAAAATATGGTTGATGGGGAATTGGTTGAACAGTTCATGCATCTTTCTACATCAAGGAAACAGGACTTGGCGCGAAGTCTTGGAGCAAGCAGGTGGCCCTATTTTCTCTTGTCTTTTGGACTCAGTTTTTTTTTCGTACATAATGGTTTGTTTGCAGATACCACATAATGGACGATCTTGTGCAAATCCAACGGCTCTCTACATTTTATTAGTTCATTGCGAGTGAATTCTTTGCTAGAAGGCCCATCATGCTTAAGCATTTATGGAAAAAAACTATGGGATGTCCTGGAAGTATTGGGATGCATGCTCTGAATTGTTCGCATTAGAATTAATTTCTTGCTAAGCAAGAGTTGAGATCTTTTAGCTGGGAGGACACAAGTGTCCCAGTTTCTCCTATACTTCAAGTTACTGTTGTTTTCTAGCGCTGAAAATTTTGAGATGACGCTCTCCATTGTAGTCCTATTGCGCATCTTGCAACTGTGATCTCTTTGTTATACCAAGTTGTTATCGTTGAGAGTAAATCTTCATAGAGAAGATGTAGAAGTTTTTTCGTGTCAGGCTTTTTATAACCATAAGGATTAGTATAAAGACGTAAGCACGACTGGCGCTAAGGTTATGTGTTGATCTTATAGTTTGGATTTGGTGATGGTTTGAAATGTTGATTTAGATCCTCTTCTTTCTGCTGAAAATGGTTTGGCGATGCTACCATTCACTTTCGTTCAGGTGACATTGGCTTCAGTACCTTGACTTTAGGTGGTTAATTTTCTCTGAATTTCTTAGCATTTGAGGATTTGGACATATGAAGAGTGATTTTGAAGTTTCGGGTGCATACAAAGAAAGAAAACAGAATTTCGCTTAGGAAGCCTTTTGTCAGATACGCAGTGAGGGGGCGGGTCGAAGGTTATGGTCATAGAATTTTCAGCATTTTATTAATGAGTTCTATCTTGCAAGTCTTCTTGTTTAGGGGATAACTTGAATTACGTAAACCTTGAGAAAATGTCATATAAAGCGTTAATGTTGAGCGTGGCTATCGCTTTGCCCAATTTTCTTTGAAAATTCTCAGTTGTGAGATTGCGAAAAAATCTAGAAAGCGTAAAATCATAAATCAAGCTTTCAATGCCGTCTCCACTTGCTCAGCTCGCGTATTTATTGGTTGAAAATTTTTTATCTCTCGACTAGTGACGAGCGTTGCACCTACGTTTACAGTCGAGTTGTTTTTCTTTTGTTTTTCGGGTTGTTTTACAGTTGTTTTTCAAAAATATTGTGCTTGCGGTGCGAGGTGGTGCGGTCAGATTCAAGCAAATAGCCAAACAGTAACATCATTTGCGCGTGCATGTGGCCGTCGTCACATGCTAAGGCTGTTCACGCGCAAATTTCACTGCACTTTTGGCACCGCAAGCACACTGTATTAAGCTGAAAATCTACTCAACTGTACATAGTACTGGGTTGTACTAGGTTGTCCCAAAAGTAAACCATTTCTAAATGAATCAAACTGTTTTTGTTTTCCTGGCTTAGGAAACCATTCGATAGAGCAAAGCAAGCTCTACAAAATGACCACCAAAGCACCGTCTAAGTCGCGATCCAGGTAAAATTTGGATCCAAAAAACAAAATTTTTCAGCTACTAAAAATTGGTTTTCCTTCCAGAAAATTCCTACGGACTTCCAACTTGGTCCTTATAGAGTAGACGCATAGTAGTACCAAAAAATGTTTTTGGTTGATTTTTTCCGGAACTCAAAATTGAGAAACAGTGATGGTCCCAAAATGCCAAAATGCCACTTCGGGTTTTTCAGGTAAAACTTGGTATTTCTCAATTATGAGAGCACATACAGGGGTAAAGTTTGAAGATTTTACTTAATAAGACTTGTAGTACACAATGACATATGTGGGTGGGGCTGGGGCGGAGTTTGCCATTTTCAGACTATCTCTTTCTTCTCGCTTGTTAAGCTCGGAAAAAAATCCAGTAAAGGCATATTTGAGTACTATATGTGTCTGCTGTATAATGACCAATTTAGTTTCGTACGATTATTCTTCGCGAAAAACAGTTTTCAGATAAAAATTTTTTTTCGATGTTTGCTCCAAACTTTACCTGGATTACAACATAGACGGATCTTTTTGCAGCTATTTTGTAGAGCTTGCTTCGCTCAAATGGTACCCTATGTCTGCCAGGAAAACAAAAACAATTTGAATTGTATAGAAATACGGTTTACTTTTGGGACAACCTAATATTATTACCTTGCCGAGGTGCAGCAATATAGCCGAACAAAGTAGAACTTTGATCCATTGCCTTAGGTTATCACGTAATCCACTGAACAAAATGTTGGTTTTTGAAACAAAGTTCTTGTGCTCGTGAAACTCGCGCAATTCACTTGAGCGAAATGGACTGTCTTCGTTATCTGCCATCCGGCGGAGAATTCTTATGAGTAATGAGCAATTTTGGGTCGAAAAAGTGAAGCGCAACTGGAACAAAGCATGTAGAATTGTCCAAATGGGCCAGTATCAGGACACTAAATACCATGGTTACTTTCTGTCTGTAATAGTCTTATCTTACTCAATACGCCCTAATTGTGCTCTTAGGAAACCGTGGCTATTAATTTTAATTGAATCCTGCGTACACTTTTCGCTCTTAAAACACTCATAGATCGGGGTCCAGAGGAGCGTGGCAAATTACTGAAGACAGACTTGGAATCAGCGCTTTATGCTTTTCAGAATGGTTTGATGTTTCATTCGGATTGACGGAAAAACTTTTTCCTAAATGGGAGATTTATGAAAGGAGCGATTGTGTTCTGAAGGAGGAATTCTTTCTCTTCACTTTGATGGGTGTTCCACACAACTGCACACTCTTGTTTCGTTTCCGCATTGAATTTAAGGCGTAAATTTCGAATTCACTGCTTGATTGACTCAGAGCCCCACCACCTGGTTATTACTGCGTAAATGTCAATTATTTCCGTGATATGCAATCAACGGAATGTATCTGTAATCTTATATAGCTGAATGTCTGTTTGTCTGTATGTATGTGTGTATGTACAGTCGAGTAGATTTAGTAGTAAATATAGTGTGCTTGCACAGAAGGTGAAATGCGGTAAAATTGGCGCGTGAAGAAATAGTTTCGACTGTGACGCCGGCCAATTGCGCGCGCAAGATTCCCGCGGTACTGACGTGGCTACTTGTTCACGCGCAAATTTCACCGCATTTTACCTTCTGTGCAAGCACACTATATTTACCGCTAAATCTACTCGACTGTATGTATGTCTGTATGTACGTATGTTCCGAATAGAAAATTCCATTTCTGAACCGATCGGGACCAAACTTGGCACACATACACTTCGGGCCCCGGCGCGTGTCATAGGCTACTTTTCGTCATAGATCGATATCGATTTTACCGATTTTTTGAAAATTTGAGCTACGGGGCTGGGAGTTGGCACAGGGGGGTAATCGAGCATGGGGATTCCGAATAAAATATTGGTTTTCAGTATTATCGATTACTTTTATCGATTTTATCGATTTTTTTGCAGAGTTCACCTACAGGGCTAGGAGTTGGCACAGGGGGGTAATCGAGCATGCTGATTACGAACACAATATTAGTTTTCAGGATCGTCCATTACTTTTATCGATTTTATCGATTTTTTTTGTAAAGTTTGACCTGCGGGGCTGGGAGTTGGCACAGGGGGGTAATCGAGCAAGCTGATCATCCCCAAGGGGGGTGATCAGCATGCTCGATTACACCCCTGTGCCAAATTCCAGCCCCCTAGCTCAAATTTTCAAAAAATCGATAAAATCGATAAAAGTAATGGACGATCCTGAAAACTAATATTGTGTTCGTAATCAGCATGCTCGGTTACCCCCCTGTGCAAAATCCCAGCCTCGCATGTCAAAATTTACAAAAAATCGATAAAATCAATAAAAGTAATCGATAATTCTGAAAACTAATATTGTATTCGGAATCCCCATGCTCACTTCCCCCCTGTGCCAACTCCTAGCCCTGTAGGTGAACTCTGCAAAAAAATCGATAAAAATCGGTAAAATCGACATCGATCGATAACGAAAAGTGGACTGTGACACCCGCCGGGGCCCGAAGTATATGTGTGCCAAGTTTGGTCCGGATACGGCGGAGCCGGGTAAGCCAGCTAGTTAGTTTTAACACGTTGACGACAGTGCCGCGCAATGGTGCGCGGCAGGCAGTCTGTCCCTGTGGACGACGCCGCGCAATGGTGCGCGGCGGCCTTAATTTCAATACTATCTGTCCAATCCTCTCAGTTTTTGTTCATATAACCAACATAGGCTCAGATGTATCTGATGTATTAGCCCCGCCCCTTTTTGGCAAACTCCGCCCACTTCTATACCTCTCACAGAGACCCTTTTTGTTCATAAAAAGCATGGATGAGGCCGTAGATGAACGCAAAGACCTCAAGTAACTTTTATACGGGCTCCGCCCACCGTCAGGCAAACTCCGCCCCCTGATTGGCATCCCGCTCACTTTTCAAAAATGCTGGAATTTGTACGAATTGATTGATTTTGAGCGATTTCCAGCATTTTTGAAAAGTGGGCGGGGCTTGCCAAAAGTGGGCCGAGCTTCCCCGCCCACTTGCACTTTTGTATCTCACGCATAGATGCATGCATACATATATGCAGCCGGCTGTGAAAATGCCCGGAAACGGTTCGTCCACAGGGACAGACCTTCAGAAAATGGCTCGTCGTCAACGTGTTAATTTCGGAACAGGTCAGTACGGTGGCAGAGTAATATATGCTAGGTTTATTGATATGCTTTGCATATATCAACGCTTAATTTCTGAGACCAACTGAACCGATCTGGACATTTAACAACTGATTTTTTGTTCGCCGTTGTTGATTCATTGTTTGATCTAAGGGGCTCTATGCATGAAAGTCTGTAAGAGTACAGCACAGGCGTAGGGGAACGAACGCCGCCAGTTTGGACCGCCTTCGCGGACTGCTGGTCCTGGAACGACGTGCAGCAACACTGCAAAAGGACCAGTTGGCGGCGAAAGACTGGCGGCCTTCGTTCCCCTACCCCAGCACAGCAGTGACGGCCTGCGGGGGGGGAGGGGGTGGGGGGAGGAGAGTGGGAAAAGAGGAAGGTGCTCTGCGAGATAAGGTTGCAAAAATTCTGTAGTAGTTTGTATCAGCTATGACGTTGTGCAAATAAATTGTTTTTTCCTTCTAATATGTAAAACATTTTGAGTATAAAAATTCTAATTATCGAAAATGACCCGTGAACTCAGGTCTCCCTTTCTCAAGTTCGCGGCATTTCGGCTGAAGCGGTTTATCTTTACAAAGTTCCCCCCACCCATCAGATCTGGGCGCCACTGCAGAGTAGTTAGTGATTTGCTCTTCTTGCTTTCTTCATGAACCTTCCTTGCTGTTCAATGTCCATACTCCCTCTTAATACGTTGTCACCTTCAACAAAAATAGAAAGTCGTTTCTGAAGAGGAAGCTAAGTGGTGCAAAAATCCACACCTGCTAACGAGGGAACCATGTTTAGTCGAAATAGATTTTGTGGGTGGGTTGTACCTTTTAGAGATCATAAAATGTTGAATTCAAATCTGCCTTCCTTATCTGCGGAACCTTTGTAAACGAGGAGTTATGTGCTTTTATTGGAGCAAAAAATTAGAAGAGTATCTAGGATAAAATAGATTGCTGAAATCTTCCTAGCCCTGAAATAAAGCAACCAAGTATGATACAGTTTTGTCTGAGAGAATTTATCCAATAAAGC